TAAGCCCACCTCCTCCACAGAGAGGAAGGCAAAGGACAGCGAGCTGGCTGCAAGTTTAGCTCCGCTCGTGCAGCCCAACTCGAGTTCGGATGTGCGCGCAGTTCATCAGCCCCCTGGTAGATGGTCGCCTTCCCGCGTGTACAACCTGCAGCTCATTAGGTTACATGGAGGACATCCGCGTCCCTTCCGAGTCAATGCAATTATTGTTTGCCACAAGGACAACGCCGGGCATGGCAGCGCTAGTTGCACTAACCTGCTCTGAATTACGGTGTCCCCCTCGCCATCAGCAGCTTGTCTAGCCCTAGGAACCGAGGGGCGCCTGCACTCCGTTTTCAAAGGAAAAGTTGCAACTCGAGTGCCTGGCCGTGTTGGAAAGCGTTAATCAGTAGGAAACAGAACGTCACTCTAGTACAGGGGGTTAGTGAAGTGATTGTGGCGCCTAGGGACTGAAAGCACTATTCCACTCCAGTCAGGTATTATACACTGAGAAATGTCTACATTAGTTCTCTATAGCTCTCCGCAAAGTGAGGCAGTACAGACAAGAGGCGAGATCCCCTGCCATGGAAAAGCTCTCGCTAGAAGATTTTAGTCGAAGCCTGGCGTGATCTCAGGTAAAGAAACCTTCCGCTTGTTTTGATGAGAGGGCTTTTTTTCTTCTTCTTCTTCTTCTTCTTTTCCCCCTCAGAGCCTGCTTCACCAGCCAGCCAGCTGCAAAGGAACTGCTGGGAGAAGAGAAACTACCTGTGATAAATCATTTGACTTTGTGCAGTCTTTAGAGTACAAATCTGTATGCTATTTCTTGGGCAGGGGGTGTGGATACGATGATCACCGTACGGTAAGGTAGGGGACTGAGTTTAACTTTCTGGATTTTCGGTCGGACTTTGGAAGGGTTGGGATTTGATCGCGCAGCAAGAAAGTTTTATCTGCATATTGAAGTCCTGTAATGCTGTTCCTTGCCGACAGCTCCGAGGGAGGGGAGAAGGAGGGAGCGTTTGGGTGTCTAGGAACCGGCGGCACTTTGGAATTGGAAAAGAAACACCCGTGGGTGCTGCTCTCTTTGCTAATGAAATAGACTGTATTAGCTGTAGTCTTTGCGCCTTGACAGAGCAGAGCGGTGCTTTTGTGCAGGTCAGCGAGCGCCTGTGGTCCATCGCAGCTGCTCCTGGATGCTGAAAACGTGCATGTGTGTATCTTGGCTCGAGTTTCTAAGTGTTAAAAGTTAATACATACAAAGACTAATAGGAGAATGGGAGGCCTCCTTGCTGTCTAGGTTGTCGAGGGGATACAAGACTGTCACTAAAGAGTGTCCAAGTGGCTACGTTTAAACAACTGATTGTACAGGTAGTTGTTACCCGGGTAAAGGAATAGCAGAGGTTCCCTTTTAGGCAATCATTGGGTGTGTGATGATAATTCGAGAAATCACAGATCATAGGAAAGGCTTCTAGACACATATGTACAAAGTGGCACGGAAAACTCACTGCCCCTCGAGACAGGCTGTAATTACACTTTGTACAAAGTCTGTGAATTCAGGACGGACTTTATGAGGAGCTAAATCGCTTGAAAACGTTGCAGGCTGCCTTAGGTGCCATCTCAGATCCCAAATGAGCAACACGTAGAGGTTCACGCCCTTGGCCAGACAGTGCCAAGGTGGTTCTAAGCTTTCCCTTGAAAACAAAGCGCAGGCGACTGAACAGTCTTACTAACGCCTAGTTAGCCCATAAGCTTGTATCACCGCTCCCAGATATTTGCTGGCGAGGCATTGACCTCTCCAAAGCAGGGAGGGAATGAGCTTCTCTCCAGTGAAGCTGTACCTAACCGCAGCCAGATCGCGTCCCTGAAGACGTCCATCAAAGCCGTAGCCCTAGAAGAGTTTCCCTGTTTTACCTGCTGTGGCCTGTTCACCACGTATCACGATGTTTCCTTCTTGTTTAATGTTTCCATAATAAAACTTGCCTGAACATTTCCTCCAGTGTCTCGGAGACGGAGAAAAACCAACCAGTTTGTAACCCTGCAGGGCATGCTTCATTAAGCTTTGGCCTCAAAGATGTGTTTGCGTCTGTACTTTTTTATGTTGGGAACCTGCTGCATTTCCTGTTGATTTTGAGGTTTTGTTTTCTTTAGCTTTGGAAACAGCTCGGGTTGGGTATTTGGCTCAAGTGCTGTTAACTATTTTTTACGGGAAAGGGGCTTGGCAAGACAACTTGGGTTATTACATACAAAATGCTTGCATTTTCCAAATGCTTAAGGATATAGCCCACAGCATTAATCGTCTTTACTTGGATTTGAACAGGGTTATCTTGCTCATGTGCAAGAGCCACAAAGAGTTTAAATCATTGCAGGACTTACTGCATGTTTGTGCTCTGGCACTAGGAATTCATGCTGAAATTTAACTTCGCTGAGTTTCTCATCAACAAAGAACCATTCTTTGTAGAGTGTAAGTGACAAAACAGCAACTCTTTGTGACAAGGTAATGCCAGCTTTTATAAACTGTCCGTGTTCTGATGTAAATTATTACAAGTTTTTAATGACAGTTTTCTTGGGAATACCAATTGGTACAAGTCTAGGGCTGAGTTAGGGTAAAGTAATGTAACAGGCAGACTGGAAAAGACAAATGACAAATTATTACAATGATTAATAAGGGAACCTTCCGCGCAAAAACAAGCGGATATCAGTGGATTTGCCCGGTGCAGCGTAGTGAAAGCCATTTGTAGATATATATAAGCAGACAGGGAATATACATTCTGAATCTGGTCTTGTAAAGATTAATCGACTCATCTAAAATATCAATCCTGTTATGCTGTGGGTGTCCCTGTTGAGTTGTTGTCTGCAGTAATATCAAAATAAAAAGACAGGACATGCCGCAAAAAAACTATGGTTGGAAAAACTGTAAGATTGTGCAACTGTACAGTACAGCTTCTCAGAACAGTTCTCCAGCTCTATCAGCTAATTACAGCGCTTTGCACTGAGCCACTCTTGAGATAAGGGCAGCTATTTTCCTCTCCAGCCCCAGTGCATAACATTCCGGTGTTCAAGTAAGCAAAAGGCAGTGCAAATCTCATAAGGAAGATCATTTTTATAACTGGTGGATTTTTCTCAATTATTTTTTCACTAAATCCTCCATAAGGTTAGAGATGTGTTACCTGTAATAATAATAATAATAATAAAACTAAAAGTAGCATTGTGTTCTAGATAGACTGAGCAGCTGGAAAGAATAAGTAAGAGTTTCACTGTAACCTAAGCTCCAAGGGCTAGTTTATTATTATTCACTTAAAGAAGGTGATATTAGCATTGCAGGTGAGAAAGGAATAAACACTCTCCCAAGAAATCAATACGGAATTCAAAAACAATTATTAGTGTCATTTGACTCCTGTTCTTTACGCATTTCTCCCGGCTACAGACTGAATAATTTGCATGTACGGTATCTATTTGTTGTTTGGGAACTCTTTAAGATGCCGCAGGACACCGCTTGTTATAGTCTAACCCAATCCTAGAACTAGTATTTTCATCTGTAAATTAAAGCAATTACGCAGCAGATATTATATTATGTGTACTGTGGTCTCCAGATAGTCATCAATCACCCTCAATCGAGCTGTCAGAGGGGGCAGATTCGTTTCTGGGAGGCAGTCTTCCAGCTGGGGAGAAGAAGAGAACATCATCATTAATTAGAGTGTGACCCTGGGGCTATTCACATGTCTGAACCCAGGAATCTCTCCGAGCAAGTCTGCACACCCAGTCTGCACGCCCCTGCGGCCGCGGCTCCCGCGCCACGAGCTGCCCGCCGGTGCCTCCGAAAGGCGCGCGGGTGCCACGTTCCCCTGGGAGCGCGTGGCTCTTTGGAGCCCTCGTGTTCGCAAGTGTGTGCTCCCTGTAACTGGCTGGCACCCCTCCGCCACGGCAGAGGGGCCCTTCCTTAGGGAGCAGAGCCCAGGGGACTCCCGAAGCCACGTTAACTCTTTGCCACGCCGTCCCCCCCCCCGCTCCCCAAAAAAGGGTGGGCTGAGTAGCCTGGGTCACTGCGGAGAATCTAAGCAAGTCTCCAGCCCGGGAGTTTCCCCAGCAGGGGGTCAGCAAGAGCGGGGGGGAGGGAATGGCTGTGCGCTTGGCCTTTGCGCTCAGCACCAGCTCCTGCTCTGCTATCCTGGGTGCCCCACCCAGTCCCTACCGAAATCAGCAGGAGTCGCGGCGTCTCGGCCCCACGTGGAATTGGGCCTTTACTCCCCACTCAAACACAACCCCAACTGCAGCAAAGGGGAGTGTAATCTCGGGGGGGGGGAGGGGAGGAGGGAAACAACTGCGGGATCTGGCCCCGCAGAGCGATTGAAAACACGTCCTATGTGGAAACGGACTCTTTCTGCTCCAGATCGCTAGTCCCCTAGTTAGGGAGCGATTGAGAAGAAGGAAATAAAGGCGCTTGAAAATAACGAAGGATCCCGTTGAAATCAATGGGAGTTTTACGATTGACTTCAGTGGGGACAGGATTAAGGCCCTGGATTAGTAAAATTGTTAGATCTGCCATATCTACGCACTCAATAAAGCTTCTACCTCCTAGGTCAGCCTCCTCTGAAGGGCGCAGGCTAGGCTTCAGAGGCCAAGGAACTGAAGAAAGCTGTTTTAATAACTCATCCCAAAGGGCAGAGTTGAGGGATGCCCACAGAGCTACGAGTGTAAATTTGCCCAGAATAGCGGGTAAGAGATGCTGGCGATACATGTGAAATAACGCCTGAAACCTAGAGCGGCAGACTGGTCTTTGATAGATTCCCCAGCCAAACACACAGCCTCTCCTGGTTTGAATTCCATCCTGCATTCTCGTCCTACCTCATTCACTGTAGGGCACGATCCAGGCAGGATGGGGCCCTACCACGACTTCGCTCAGAACATTGCAATATTGAGATTGCGAGCAAACTCTTTTCGAGGTGACCATCCAATGTCTTCAGACATTTCCTGGGACGTATATTTATGTATAAATGGTTTAAAATGTAGCCGCACATCTGGACAGAAGGGTGCAAAGAAAACAAAACTGCTTGCCATGTGGTTTATTGTCAGCGCTAATTTTAACTGTTGATTAAATCTTAAATGAAGACTCACTCGTGTGTCTCTTCATATGTCTCGTTTGTAATTGAGACTAATTATTACGGCGAACTGGGAAGAAGCAGCTGCTCGTTAATTAATTTCTAATTAAAAGGGTTTACCATTCTTCAGTGACTAAGGGGAAAAATCTTAGTTGGTGTAATATTGCTTCTTCAGATCTTCCTACAAAACCATATTAAAACACAGTGAACTTAAGAACCTAATGTCTCAGTGCTCCCCAAACTTTGATTCAGTATATGTGTAAAAACTGTCTTCTGTGTTCTGAACACAAACTCAATATGAATGTTAAACTTTATGTGACGTCAGAGTCTCTGCTGTTAAAAAACGTGCATCTGAGTTGCCTGTTTGCACTACTTTTCTTTTCTTCTTCTTCTTCTTCTTCCTTTTTTTCCGTGCAAAATGTTTATTTCTGCCTCCATGTGGGTCAGCCTCTGCGCCACATATAGAAATTGCTTCTAGTTTGTAGCTGTAGAAAAAAATACTACATTAATCGTCCATCTTTTTCAGTTAAAAAAAGTTTTTTTAAGATTCACGTAGTTAAATTAAATGTGGTATTCTGCTTCGTCCTATAAGCATCTAGGAACCTGTGGTTACCAATCAATTGGTACAATAGAGCAGAGCAAGGCTGCAATAGCGTGCAGATCAGACGTCTCTCCTTGTTTCTAGATAACCAGGAGCCTCCGTACCATGTCATACCCTCAGTTTGGATACCCTTACTCTTCTGCACCCCAGGTAAGACTCTATTGTCCGCAAACGTTAATTGATTGAATTTCAGTCATTATTGATTTCTACAGTTCAGTGCTAAAAGCTGCAGCGATCCTTTACAGTACGTGAAAGCGTGAAATTGGTTAAGCACTCGGTCTGTTTGAAAGATATTTAAGTTATATCTTGTATGCATATTTGTAAAATGAAAGGAGCATACAGTATTTAGGATGTTATGGGGAGAATGGAGGGGCGGGGGAGGCGATAGGAAAGGAGAGAGAGGACGGAGACCCTCCAGGAATAATATTGTATCGTCCGGATGAGGTTTACTATTTACACACTTAAAAAGGAATTTGCTGAATTCTCTATTGTAGAAACATAATGGGAGATCTGAAACCAGGAGGTTAAGAATAGATGTATGTAGGGCTGTTACAAATCTGCAGTCAAAATACATATGCATGAGTGAATTAGGAAAAAAAGGTTTAAAAACGCAGATGGGGAGCATTGTGCTGCAAGTGGAGACAAATGATGTCAACACTTTGTGCAACCCATTATGAAAGTTTCTTTTTAAAGCATTTTTGATAAGCAGCCCGAAAACCTGAATCAGCCGCCCCCTTCCATTGATTTGCTTTAAATGCCTCGAGTTTTGTCTTCCTTTTTCACTGATAAAATAGGTAGTCTGTACATTTCCCGAAACCTTAACGGAAATAAATGTCAAAATTTAGCAGCAGTTTTTTTTAAAGAAAAAGTTTTCCTCTTTCCCCTTAGTTCCTGATGTCCACCAATTCCCTGACAACTTGCTGTGAGTGCAGTGGCAGGACTCTGACAGATTCAGGCGCTGCAGCCTCGACTCAGACCCCAGTCTATTGTCCTGTATACGAAAGCAGGCTATTAGCCACAGCCAGACATGAGCTGAATTCTGCAGCTGCCTTAGGAGTCTATGGAAATCCTTACACCAGTACCCAGGGCTATGGAAACTACGTTACCTATGGTACCGAAGCTTCTGCCTTCTATTCTTTGGTAAGCAATCCTAGCATCTTCTTTATCACTCATTAGTAAAACAAATCCCAGCATGGGAGATAAATGTATCTTCTCGCTTCTTGGCTGGCGTGTCCTCCCTAGAGGAAATCTGCGCTCTCTCCTTCCTTCTGAATTGGAACTGTTCTCTAAGACTCAAATTCACGTGCTGCTCTGTTTAGATTGTTATCTTCACTCAGTCATGTTTTCAGGACCACTTTAAGTAGTTCTACTAAAGACCCTCAGTACAGGTAGTTCTTCACGTCAGCCTATTTTATGCAGCCGACGCATAGCTCTGCCTTTTTAAAAACTCTGTCTAGTGCTAAAATATGAGAACAGTTACATGATACTACCGTGAAAGGCCAGTTTTGGGGATCTGATGAACGACACTAGAATGAAAGCTATAGCTAGGCTGGTAGTTCAAAGTTGCATATACACAGGGCGCAGAACAATCGATATACCTTGGAATGAGGTTTTTCTTTGGCATCATTATAGCGTGGGTTAATGTGTGTATTGATTTCGGTGGCTGCTGAAAGTCTAGAGGTTTCAGATTCTTCAAAGGAACCAACTGTCTTTCCTGTAGCCAAAACCTAGCTTGCTGTAAGACCACGGAAGTAAAGTTGCCATTTGTCTTTCATTTCCTTTGCATATTGTTTTTCAGATTAATGAAAGGAGTTAGTTGGGAACAGCTAAGATGCCACTGAACGTTTAAACGCTTGTTGGCCGTTGCTAGAATTGTTTTACGAAGTGCAATGTGCTCTCGGTTTTGCAGAGACGAGAACTATGCATTTTGTTAGATATTTCGGATAGGAGAATACTTGTTAATAGGAAGGGATACCGCTTCATTATTGTGTAGTCAAATACCAGGCAATTGTTTTGGAACCAAACACAGCTGGGGGAAGCAATATATATTCTATGGCAACACTTGTTTCACATTTTGCTTTACACGTAACAAGTCAATTCACTTCCCTTAACTACTTCCAAGGAAAGAGGCGGTGTGGCGGGGATGGGGGTGGGAACTGGCAAAAGGACACACTGGATTTTGTGTTACAGAACAGTTTCGACGCGAAGGATGGGGCTGGATCTGCGCATGCGGGCATTACCCAGGCGGCTGCCTACTATCCGTACGATCACACACTCAGTCAGTATCAATATGACAGGTAAGAAACAAACAACTACCCAGACGTCACAAAGAGTGGGGTTTGTTTTTTCATCAGCTGGGGACATTTTAAACAGCGAATATTTCTGTCCGTTTAACAAGGGGTTATGAGCCAAGGTAACACAAGACCTAACACAGATAAATACATAATTAGGCAAAATGGAAGCCTATATTTCTTCTTTGACAAAACTCGCACGTGTCCTCTACCTGACGTTGCTCAAACGGTGCGGTGAAAGCCAAAGCTTTATTCTCAAAGGTAACACTGTAAAGACTCTTGGAGGGCTGGCTAACCACCCACAAATGTGTGTTGGTCAGCCCTGAGCAGTATCGCAGAGAGGCAAAGCAATAACTCTGCACTCACCTCTGACTTTAGCAAACGATGTATCAAATACACCTCGCCCTCCCTTTCCCACATGTAATTCAGTCTGGTCCAGCACTCTCCCAAACAGAATCACAGAATAGTAGAATTGAAAGGGTCCTTAAGAGGTCATCAAGTCCAGTCCCCTACCCTCACGCCAGGTCCAAGCACCAACTAGTTCATCCCTGACAGATGCCTGTCTAACCTGCTTTTAAATATTTCTAGTGATGGAAATTCCACAACCTGCTTAGGCGATTTATTCCAGTGCTTAACTGCCTTGACAGTTAGGAAGTTTTTACACACACACACACACACACACCTCAAAAACTTTACTCTCTCCTAATCTTTTATAGAAGCTGTTTCTAAGTATATGTTTCAGCAAGTTGGTCTGCCATGCCAACACGTGGTCCTTTACTTTGCAGGGAGCTATACTTCCCGCTAGCCACTGTGTATATTAATTAGCTTTTTCTACATTGTGCTAAACTGAACGGCCCTTTTATCCTCGGTCCGTTTATTAGTTTTAAAACAGCGTAAAACCACTTAAACCATCTCAACCTTTTAAGCCCACTGGGTGACGGTGACCTTTCCTGGCTGATGTGCATTAAATATTCAGGTGCAGTCCAGTGTCTTCTGCGTCCCGTTTTTACAATTTCAGGCACAAAAGGGTAGGAGAGCTTACTAATAAAAGGAATAAGAAGGAAATACATTTCTGTTAACAGTTACACCCCGGGGTCACTTAAATATATTTGATTTGAGCAGGATTTCTCAAACAGCTGGAGAGCAGAACTTTTCTCTGTGTGTGTCTGCGTTTCTAAGCTGTTACTGTCACACAAGTTGTTAAAATGGACTTTACAATTTACTTGATTAAAAATAGAGATTTCCTGTTCTATTTATTCTTCAAAGGTTACTGTACACTTGAATCAAACCATGTCTCGTGCCCAGTGTTTCTCATTTTAAAATGGTATTGCTGCTTTTTTCCCCACTGAAGGGTTGGGCTGAAATCGTTACTAACAAACAGCCTTTGACGTCCTCTCGAGTGTTGGTACACTATTCCTCCCATACTAAATGATTATTGCTAGAAGAAGGTACCGCTAATACTCTCTCATAATACTTAGTGCAAAACCCACCTGTCTTTCCTTTGGCTTCAGTGGGCTTTGGATCAGGTGCCCAAAGCCCACCTCTCTGCTTCTTCGTTAGGATCTACCTATGATGTCATTTATGTTTTGTGAACTACAGATATGGCACCATGGATGGAGGCACCCGAAGAAAAAACGCTACTCGTGAAACCACCAGCACCCTGAAGGCCTGGCTGCAGGAGCACCGGAAGAACCCCTACCCCACCAAGGGCGAGAAGATCATGCTGGCCATCATCACCAAGATGACCCTCACCCAGGTCTCCACCTGGTTCGCCAACGCCAGGAGGAGGCTCAAGAAGGAGAACAAGATGACCTGGCCTCCGAGGAACAAGTGCTCGGATGAAAAGAGACCCTACGAAGAGGAAGAGGAGGAAGAGTCGCAGGAAGACAATATGAAGACCGAGAAAAACGATGGTATCTTATTAAACATACATTTACAATGACCACGCAGAATTCTAGAGTAGCCAAACCCGTCCCCCTGTAGACTGTGTCCAACAAGAGCGTTGTTGCATGGCTGGGTAGGCTATGCTCATGAACTGTACATAGCCTAGACACATGCATGCAGGGCTGCAGTTAGATTCTGCTCATTTGTATTCTTAATAAGTAACGCCCTTTCAAACCTTACTCTGGATCGTTAGAGGTGGTATTGCTTTAAAGGAGCACTGTAATGCGATTTATTGCCTATGTTTTGCTGTTTCCCCATTCCTGCAGAGGCCACCGGCAAAGCAGAAAAAGAGCTGGAACTGAGTGATCTGGATGACTTTGACCCCATTGAGTCGGAGAGCTCCGAATGCGAATTGAAACAGCCCTTCCAGCACCTGGAGAGCACCCAGATAAGGACAGCCGAGACCTGTGCCACTGATCATTGCAAGGAGCCTTCTTTAAAGATGCCCATCGCGGCGGCCACCATTGAGGAAGACCTGGAGAGGGCTAAAAACTGTCTCAAGAACGTGGTGGACGAATGTGAGCAAGACTTGATCAGTGTAAGGCAGAGAAGCTGTGAGTCCAAAATGTGTTTTCAGCAGGGGCAGCAAATATTGGAGACAAAGCCTAGGATTTGGTCCCTGGCTCACACTGCCACTTCTCTAAACCAGACTGAGTACCCTTCCTGCATGCTGAAACGCCAAGGGGTCTCCTCCTCCGCTGCAGTGTCGGCTCCTGTTAGTGTCATTGACAGACATCAGGATTCCCCAGTCACCAATCTCAGGAACTGGGTGGACGGGGTGTTTCACGACCCCATATTCCGACACAGTACTTTGAACCAAGCTTTGAGCAACACAACAGTTTCCTGGGCTACCACCAAAGGCGCCATTCTGGAAACGGGATCCTTGGGGCGCTCAATTGGGAACGGTACTAATGTGCTCAAAGGCCAACTGTCAAATTTAACCCACCAGGACTCAAATAAAGAATTTCTTGCATTTCCTAAAGCAGGAAGCAAAATGTTTTGTTCCTAACAGCACCCCAGTGGGGGGGAAAAACTTTCTAACAACTGAAGAGTTGGATACACTGGGGGAAAAAAAGATTTGGAAGAATTTAAATTTAAATATAATTTTTTTAAAAAACAAAGATAAAGATTTAAAGTGCGGTTTGCTTAGTTAAACGGGCAGACTTTATTCATTGCTGTTTTGAAGAATTTCTGTTGGTTGCGACTTTAAGGGATCAATGTCGTGAAAATAACTGAACTCCATGTCTGAAAGCACGTACTATAGTGTAGGCGTACTTAAAAGTTTACATCCAAAAGTTTACAAACGAGAAATTTAAATTCAGATATTTAATTTAAGGCATGCCAATATTAGTTCGAAAGACTTCTCCGATTTTTTCCTTCTGATTTCATTGTTATCATATACTTCACAAACGGCACTTATACCAAGTTTACACGATTGCACAAAGTTAACTTGACAAATATGTTTAAAAACGTATGTTCACTCCAATAAATTGTCTGTTTCAGAAGTAAAAATTAGTGGTGGCGTTTTGCATTACAAAAGAAATATGTTCCCGTTTTAGAATGTGAGCTCTTGCATGTGCTAGTAATTGAAAGAAATGCTAGGGTGACGCATTCATACTAGAAAAAGTTGCGGAAATGTCAATAAATCAGGAGCATAACTGCAAACAAATGTTTTTAAATCAGAAATATTTATACTTTTCCCCTCTTCCACACACACCCCTCCTCCCACTCTTCTCAAGGAATCCAGGCGATCATTGGGCAAAAATGGTCTATAGAAGCGGCGGGGAGATTCCCCTTTAAACAAACAGTTATTATTTTGTACAGTCGCATTTACTAGGCTGTACTCTGTTAAAGAGCGCCGTGTTAAAGAAGACTATGTTACACTGGAATATGGATGTCCAGTCTCAAGAGCCCTTCTCTGCCAGAGAAACCCAGGGCAATCCATCATTACATTTGTTGAGTTTGACAGTTGTCACCCAGGAAAGGAGGGGTGGGGAGGGAAACAATAACAGGAGTTAAATAGATAGATAGATAGATAGATAGATAGATAGATAGATAGATAGATAGATAGATAGATAGATAGATAGATAGATAGATAGATAGATAGATAGATAGATAGATAGATAGATAGATAGATAGATAGATAGATAGATAGATAGATAGATAGATAGATAGATAGATAGATAGATAGATAGATAGATAGGAGTGTAGTTGTGCTTTAGACTTGCTGAAATAAAGGAGAGAACAGAAGGAGAAGACAAAAGTCCACGAATGTGAGGATAGACTGTAGTGACCCCCGCATAAACCTGAGAAGGGGGATGTGGGGTCTTGGAGACCAGACTGGGGGATATTACCCCGGGACCCCGTGTTTGCCGCTGTAGCAGGGGACTGTCTGTTTCTGAGGGCGAAGCAATTGATTCCCATGGAAATTTTGCTGTTTTAAAGAACCGTTTGAGCTTGCAGCTCCTCGGACAGTATGAAGAATCGCTGATTTTTCCATGAATATTTCAGCACTTCAGGACAGATGCGTTACCGTTTTGACATTAAATAGAGTGCAGCCAAGAGAAAGCGCTCGCTCGCCGTGTGAGTCTCGCTGCCAATTTACCGGTTAAATAACACGCGTTTTTCAACATTCCCCTTCCAAGCCGGGAGCCGAAACAAACTTTCTGTTCCTCAGGCCGGGGGGAAATAAAGAAATAATGAGCCCAGCCTGACAGAAATAAGAATCGTCTTAAAATACCCGTTTCAGATCCAGAGGAGCTTCACAAACTGGTGTGGACAAGAGTTAAAGGCTCCTACTGGGACTGTTGTAGGCAAATGAAAACAACCCTACGTCTTTTCCACGCCTTCCTCCCTCAAAGTTAAAATAACCAACAAAAAACCAGACATGAAACAGAGCGCTACCCCCCAGGAAAGAAATCTCGAGACAGCAACTAGTTAAAACATAAAACACAGCAGCCTGTAAACTTTAGAGGGAGGCCGGTTAGGGCAGCAATTGAATAAAGGAATCCGGGCGTGGGGAGTGGATCAAACCCTTCCCCTCTCTGAGAGCTGCTGTAATTGGATTGTATCCAGTCATATTCCCTGTCATTGTATTGACTTTCGCTCTCTTGGATGATATTATCGAGATCACTGAACCTCGCTGCTGATCTGGCTGTCAAAAGGCTGAGACAGGAGCCCCCGGCCTGGAAAACGTGCATCAGCCAAGATAATTTGAAGTGAAATTTTCATTTTGACAGTAAACCCCTCAATTTCTAAAGGCTCTGCACCCAGAGATCTCGGTGGCAGGGGGAGGCTTTACAGAAAGCCACGTCTTAAACTGAAAAGGGCAAAAGAACTCGAATTAGTTGTAATAGATAAAAGGGCAAAAATAAAGAGTCAAGGGTACTTGACAGTAATAGCGAAAGTGGAGTCTCGGGGGAGAAGTGTTCTCAGCTAGAGGCTGGGCCGGCAGGAATTTTAATGCAGCCGGGCGGCCGGAGCGCTTTCCAGTGAAGCCCTTTAGACAAAGCACATTTTTTTAAAATACCAAAATAAGGTAGAAGAGACGAGATGGAAGCAGGCTCGGGTGTTCAGACCTCCAATCAGCGGTAAAAGCAAATGGCCCAGGAATCCGCATAACCACCATGAGAAAAAAATACTGGCTACTGTGGTAGCAATGTTAAAGCAAAAATATACGTGTGTATGGCTTTACACGTGTTATTGTATATGTAATACGCGTGTGGGTGCATGCTAATGTTTTGCTGCAGATTTCAACTTCGATGCCCATAGTGGACGGTATCGGGGAGACAAAGATTTAATTATCCAATGCAATGAGAGCTAAGTGAGTATGATAGGAACACAAAGACATATGCAGAGACAAAGTTATGGAGTAAATATAATTAAGAAAATGTATCTGTCTAAATCTGCTGCACCACAAACATTCACGACTTATGCAGAATACTAAATTATTCAAAATACACTTTCTTTGTGTAATGACAGGATTTTTACCCTCAGAGGAAACAACAATATGGCATTAAAATCAGTCTGATTTCTGTAGAGTTCTTTTGCACTTATTTCGAGGCCAGACTTAGGGCGGGGGGGAGGAGGGAATAACATGCTCTTGAACATAGCAACTGACAACACTGGCCCCCCCCCCCCCCCAATAATATTGAAAATGAAGGCAACACAATTATATTCCAGGCAAAACCATTTCACTATTATAAATCAGAGAAATACTTTACCCCTTAACGATGTGTGTCTGTCATTATAAAACAAGTTTGAATAAGTTTGTGCCTGTTATCTAACAAGACCTGATTGAGGTAGGCTACAGGTATAGGATTCTTTTTGTATGAAATCAGGTTTTGTTTCGTTTTTTTGGAGGGGGGGAGGCCTAGTCCTTGTCTAGAAATTAGCAGTCAGGCATACAGATCATTCAAAGGCATCCAGAAAGTGAGAATAAAAGACTATGAGAAATTAATCTTTGCTATTCGATTCAATAGCACAAGTCAAAGATCACTTTCAACTGTTTCTCAGCTGTTGTGGGGGGGGGAGTGCTAAGAAAGAAAGCCATATAACTTGGATGGATATACAAAGCAGAAATATAAAGAGGAGATCAAAAAGAAGGGAGAAGAAAGAAAAAAAACATGGAGAAAACGGTCTGAAACTGAGAGACTCTAAATCATTCAGCCATGGCAAATTCAAACACACAAAGGAGGGGATGCTAAATTAACAGTGCTTTTTACATAGAGCCCAAATAAAACTGTAATCAGCGACGCGTTACTTTTCATTAAGCGAGTTTGACAGCAGCATATTCAGCCTCGACAAGGGAACAGGAGCGAAGAAATATACGGCTCTCCCAGCCCGAGTCATAAGATAATTCCTTAAGCTCCATTAACAACTCTTAGCCGCAGGAAATGGGCTCCCTGAAAACATCTCCAAATCTAAAAGCTTTATCGACCTCTCAAACCTCTGCTGATGGTTCTATTTTTTAAAAAAAAACTTAAGGGAGAGACGCCCAGCAAGGTAATAGACTTTGACACAACACCTTCTTAACTAGAGAGAGCGAGGCCGAGAAAACGAGACCTTAAATGATATTTAAAAGGCAGCCAATTAAGATTTAAAATGATTGTCTCCTGAGATTATGCATGTGATTTATGTCACCTACTTTTTCCCAGGCATGCATGCAAAATTGCAACTGGGCAGATAGCCTGTTCTTTAAATAATAATAACTTTTAAAAATAAATAGCAGCAATTAACTATCTACAGCTATCTCCAACAATTTTAAATATTAAGCTAATAAGGGGCTGGATTTTAGATATTCTGATTGCAAGTATACATTGCAGCAGTTATTTAGTTTATAGTTAATTAAACGACAATCAAATATATCATACAAACATTTTCTGTTACCTTTCATGAGCATAATTTTTAAGATAAATTTTATGCTGTGTTGATGTCTGACTACTAAAGACCTTTAATGAGTACTTTGTCACACAACAGAATGAAATAGCGTTCAGTTCATCCACACAGTGAGAAGTGTGTCTTTACAGGATTTCGAATATCAGATCCCTTAGAAGAAGGTAGGATGTAATGGTGCCTCAGATTTAATAAAGTCTTAGTGATGAATATTTATCACTTGTCATTGCATCTGATCTTCAGATAACTTGAAAATTATCAAGTTATCTGACGATTTCTTGTGTTATATTAAATACCAAGAAGAGTTAATTTTACAGTAAGAATTTCATCCAGAAAGTCCTGATAATGAGAATGAGGGCTGAAATTCTTTGGCTTGTATTGAAAACATCTCCAAGTAATGTGAATGTGGCAGTGGGAGAGAGAGCCTATGTGAGCACACCTTTTCCTTCCATGTGTTTAGATCTAGCCACAATCTGATGGGGATAGGCCTATATTTCATCATTAATGTTTTTTGTGGCACTTGTGAATTTAATTCAGACCTTTTCCTTTTTAGATGTAAACCTGGAAAGGGGAGGGTTTTATGGCCAAATGCTTGTGGGTGTCTGGGTGTAGAAG